AAAAAAAAAAAAAAAGTTGATTATATAACTTAATTCTGTATTTAAGATGAAAACAAAACAATAAATAAATAAGGAAACAGGGAAACAAGAATGATATGTCATTTGGCAATTTTCCATTCTCTTTATCTTCTCTCTTGATATTTCTGTATCTTGCTCTCCTTTCTCTAATTACATGGATTCAGACTGAAAAGAGGACTGGATGCCACCTCTTTTTCTTAGTCATTACTACTTTCACTTGTGCATTTTGATTTTATATCCTGTTTTCACTCTTTGATTTAAGTAATGAATGTAAGAATGAGATGTGGTGTATGACTAAATGCTAGATAGGAAGAGGAGCCATAACAATAAGGAATAAAAAGAAGGTAAGGGATGGGAATTTGAATGATTCATACATCCTCCCTCTACTCATTTGTCAATTTATTTATACTTGCCTTTACCATTTTGTTCTTCTGAAGTGCTCATTAAATATTTATGGAATAAATAAATTCTGTAATTCTAGTTCCTGTCTGAATTTTTATACCTATTTTGGGAATACAACAGCAAAAAATGCAAAAGAACAAAATAATCTGAATAGACAACAGAAAAATCCAGAAGTAACAGATGAGGTAAACAAAGTCACTGTATCTTTCATTCTGATTACATTTACTCTACATCCTCTGAAATTCGTGTCATTTTTTATTTTTGTTTATAACTTCAACCTTCATTTTACCTCAAACAAGGAACTGAAATGAACAAAGTAATCAACCACAAAAGGAGCATGGTTCATTTCCCATTTTAGTAACATAGCTACTGCATTTGAAAAAAACAACTTGCTTTTATAGCTTACTATTTATTCTAAAATTTCATTATATTGTAGAAAGGCTGATATAAAACATTTGAAATTATTAAGATTGGTCTAGAAGGCATGCAAAAGTGGTATTTTAATGCTTGAATTAAAATAATCAAAATTATATCATAAGACCAGAGATTTGTTTTTTTACCTGTTCTTGGGTCCGGTTCTTCCAGTATAACCATCTCTTTTTCCAATCTGGACCTATCATGTTTTCAATTGCATTTTCAGCTGCAAAATTAAAAAAAACTTTTTAAAAATTCATCAAAAATTTTATCATTTACCAAGTACATAGATTATAACTAATATTAAAGAGTTTTATTTTATTAACTATTTCAAAGTGCTATATCAATATAAAGTCAGCTGAAATAAAGACAAAAAAAATTACATGATTGATATGGTACATGTAGAAGAAAGGATTTAATTATATATGTTTATAATCTGCGCAAGGTACAATTGGTATTGCAAGGTATACCGTTTCCATAGGTATAGAGGCAAACACTAAAATGGTCTTATAGTTTTTTCAGAATAGGAGTACATATGAACGTATGTCCAATTTATTTAATATTTTCCCTAGTTACTAAGCCATTGACTGAAAAATCCCACAAAAAAATTTAACTATGTTATTAATGACAAAGCTATGAAATGTTATTTATTTATTTTTTTAAACTTTATTTTACAAACGTTCATCAAGTTGGATGACCCCCCCCCCACCCCGCTTCACCACTGCGAATACTCACAACTCAACCCATGTCCTACTTACTGTCCTTGAGGCGAGCCTGAAGAGCTTCTTCCATAAAATAAATAGCGGCATCCCACTGTTGTTTATCAGATATGGAACGGTCTTCTAAAGCATTGTGCTGGATAACCCTCTGAAATAACAAGGAAAGAAAAACAGCCAATTTTGATCTATCTAGGCCTTATAATCTTAGTAACTGTATTCAAATTGACAGCTTATCAAACATCCAAAAGAACAGATGTGCCTAAAACAACATAAAAGTATGCCCCTTCCATGCAAATTCAGGTCTTATTACCTGCCCACTTGTCAGCTTTCTTCCCCAAAAAATAAACAGTGAAGACTTCTTCCTATTCCAAATTAAGTAAGCTATGTCTAAGATCGAGAGAGGTATGTTACACATGTAACCACATAAAATCGGCACCTAGAACCCTAGTAACTCAGGAGTTAATGATTCAGATCATCGCTACCTCTCCTTTTTGCCATATGATCTGTGTTAGCATTTCCAAAAAAACGAGAAAAACAACCACTGTCTCACCGTTAACACCAATGAAAAGTGTAAAGGAGGAAAGCTTAAAAGGTCTAGACAATCATAAGCAAATGTGAGTTCTTCATTATAAGAAAACTGATCTCTAAATTTTATAATTATTGAATGAATGCATGAAAAAGGACACTATTCTCTCAGGAAGCTAGTCTTATAAGGCATTTAACAAGAACGAACATAGCTTTCAAACATGAAAACAAACACTTATTCTCAAATAAATTACAATTATGACCAGCCCACAATGCGATATGCATTATCCTGGAAAACTGTTCAATCTTTCAACAGTTCTCCTCAGAACTGCCTGGGAAGAGAGCAGGTGCTTAACCAGGTTTGATTATGGTGATGGAACGTTCTACGTAACAAAAGATCTGCTGGAGGTGGTTGGATTTGGTGAAGGTCAGGAGTTAGGCTTTGTAGCAGAGTCAGGGCTTGGGTCTGAGTTTTGCCAAGGACAATAATAAGGCTGCTTAAGAACTAAATAAAATCTGCTTACAAAATACACTGTAGAGTTTCAGGCACCTTGCAAGCATTCAACATGTGGCAGTTAGCATTATTTTAGAAGTCTAACACTGTATGACTCAAATCCACTGAAAACCAATGCATCTAATTCCTTTTATTACCACGAAGGGTAAAATGAGAAGCAGCTATCTGAGCCATCTGTAGATCAGGTCCATGTAATGGCTAGTGGACAACAATTTGTGGAAGTTAATAGAAGCCTCTTTACCGCGAAGTTTGACTTTTTTTCTGAAATGCTAGCCAAGAAAAGAAATAGCAGAGAAATGTTAAAGAGCTAATTACAGATGGTTAAACTATTTCTTTCCCCTCATTATTTTAAATTCAGAACCTAATTGAAATGGCCATATAAAAACAGCTTCCTACAAAAAGATACCAATTTGAGAAATTATATAAAAGCATGAGGCCAACACCTTAACATACAAATGACATACCAAGCTGTCCTCCGCAAAATCATTCCACTTGTGGCGCTTAATACTTTCTTCCTTAACAGCCTCTTTAAGTTTATCAAATATGTCATCATGCTCTTTCCCTTTTGGTTCTGTCATGAAGCGGGAAAATTCTTCTTGTAGGGTCTCCCAAGCAACCTAGGTTTAAAAGAAAAAAAGCTGTATTCACAGTACATACTTATATTTAATATGTAACATGACAAACATGTGAATTAAAGCCAAACAAATGAAATAAGCTTATCACAAAGTACATATGAAACCACTTTTTTTTTTTTTTTAAAGGCCGCATACATAAACACTGGCCTAGAGATCTCACACTGATAGCTAGTGGGGTAGATTTGGCGTCCTGACATGTTTTGCTAGACCTACATGGTGTTTTAAATTTTAACAAACAGAGCCAACATTAAAAAGAGAGAGACTTCATATAAAAATCTGTGTTTCCAGCCTCTCTTGAACTATCCGGCAGCACTGTACCCACATTCCTACATAACACTAGCTGGAGCTGAAAAGAAATTGCCCCCTTGACTTAAGGTCTGTACTCCAATCAGCCCCCAGACTTAGTTCACTAATTTATTTCCTTCTGTACAAGAGGTGAGTCTGCCTGCTTCTTTCATTCTGCAGAAAGTTTAAAATTTCATAACGATTCAGTCTTCTTCACATGTTTGCCTTTATGCAAATACATGAAGCAAAGCATCAATACCTTCAAACAGAACCCAGCAGTATTCAGGCTCTATCACAGCTAACTCCTAATTACCTGGAAGGAAGAGCCCAGTGCCAGAAGTAACGAAGAACTAAATCTACTTATGATTAAGTGGGCTGGTTAATGCTGTGTTTTTTATTTAGCCCTGGTCCTTTCAAACATGAAGAAATCACAGCATAAAAAAGATGGCTGTTCAAGAATATCCAGTGAGGTATTAGAATCTATGTTTCCTGACCTTCGGCAGATCCTCATGTCTCCGCCACACCCAGGTGAGAAGGGAGAAGGCAGCAGGAGACAGAATGACCACTTCCACGGCCGAGCCTTAGGATGTGAAAATATCCTACCGTGGGACCGGGGCCGCACAGATGTTTTTAGGCAGGTTGTGAGGAGAGCTGGTGAGTGATGGCAGCAGCTCTCTAGCTATTTCAGGGGTAAATGTGTGGAGAACTGACAGGGGTCAGCAGTATGCAGCTTCAGCAGAGCAGCTGCCAGCTCTCAGAAAGAGAAGCTGGAAGAAACTGAGAAAACAGGTGCAGTCAGGGCTGGAGCAGGACAGGAGAGGGGGGAATGACGCCCAAATAATTAGAAGCTGACAAGGTAAGTATGAAAAATGAAATTATCTTTGACACTGACTCTCATTTTGTGAGCAACCTCACAAAGAAGCACAGGACACACCGCGTCTTACTGAGCGAGCGCAATCATTCTTCAGACTAATACACGTGGCAGATCAGCTCAGGGGATGCTCATCATCACAGTAACAGCAGCTGGCATTTACTGCGCAGTTACCGTGGGCCAGGTGTGTCTAAGTATTTTATGTATTACGCACATTTACTCCTTATAACAATCTGCGAGGTGGGCAACATCATCATCCCTATTGTACAAGTAAACAGAAAGGTTAAGCACCTGGAGTCCAAAGACCACCCAACTACTACGTGGTATAGCCAATGTGTAACAGATAAGCATTCTTTAAGGGACTTTCTTATAATTCTTGGTCTAATGTTCTGGCAGGATCCTAACTAAGGAAATGATTATTTAAGTGCAACTGAGCCCAGCAGAAAATCAATAGGTGAAATAGTTCAACCATTAAACATTTTTCTTATGGGATCCTTATTCGCAGAAAAAGTTAAAAACAGTTCACAGTTAAGCAAATTCTGCTGGTTTTGTTAAATGCTATCTTTGGAACAGGACCAATGCCCTCAGACCAACAAAATGCCAATCAGTAAATTTTTATAGTGGTAGTAACTGGTAATAGGATTAAGGCTGACCCCAACACAGAGATAAGGAATAGAGAATAAATGGAGCCTAAAGACTAAAAGGAGAAAAAGTGGCTGTGATGGGAATAAAACCTAAAATTCACGGCTCCTACTCCCTTCACATAATGCTTCTTACCCATTTAACTAAATTATATCCTAACCTCTACTGCTTTATTAGGAAGCTGTTTATCAGTCCACTGTTTAAGCTTGATGTCCACTGTTGTATTAAAAGTCCCTGAATTCATGGTCTGTGCAGCTGGAAGATAGATGTTTTCAATCACATGAGTTGATACTCTTTCCCACAAAGACTGCTGAAGGATTTCCTCCCTGAAATTAGACAAAACAAGTTTCAAGAACATCAAATTTAAATATTATATTGTTTTTAAAAACAGCTGCATTGAAGTATCATATTTACAGTGCTGACATATGAACAAACTTGTGTATCACCGCAATCAAGAGAACCAACCTATCCATCATCTTCAAAAGTTCTAGCTGCTGGATCTGCTTTCAGTTACTAGAGGTTGGCTTATATTTTCTAGAATTGTGTATAAATGCAACCATACAGTATATACTCTTATTTTTGTCTGTCTTCTTTCACTCGGCAAAACCATTTTGAGATTTCTCCATATTGTTGTATGTATCAATGTTTCACTCCTTTTTTTAAAAATTATTTTTAAGTCTATTTATTTGAGAGAGAGCGATTGCGAGTGGGGGAAGAGAAGAGAGAGGGAGAGAAAGAACGGGAAGCAGGCTCCATGCATTGTGAGTGCGGAGCCCAATGTGGGGCTCGATCTCATGAACCATGAGATCATGACCTGAGCTGAAATGAAGAGTCTGCCACTTAACTGATGAGCCATTCAGGCGCCCCTGTCTCACTCCTTTTTATTGCTGAGTAGTATTCCACTGCATGGATCTGTTTACATATTTAGCTGCTATTGGACATCTGGGTTGTTTCCCACCGTTAGTTCTTCCAAACGAAGCCGTAATGAGCTTTCACATGCAAGTCTTTATGGACACATACTTTTGCTTCTCTCGGGCAAAATATCTAGGATTGGAAGAGCTGCATCATTTGGTAGCTACATAGTTAACTTTTTATGATACTGCCAAACTGTCCAAATGGGTGAACTATTTTACATTCCCACCAGCACAGTATGAGAGTTCTAGATGCTCTGCTTCTTGCCAACATTTGATATGGTTAGTCATTCTGACAGGTTTACGGTGGTATCTCATTGCAGTTTCGTTTGCATTTCCCTAACGGCGAATACTTTTAAGCATCTTTTCCTGTGCTTATTTGCCTATACAGACTTTTTATGTATTGACTGAAAAGTGCAGTCGAAGACTGAGAATTTTTAGGTATAATTTTAACAATTTATCAGACCACAGCACAGAGCACAGAGATGTTATGGGATATTGCTAGGTAAAACTGGTCAACACATCATGATAAAGGCAACACTATAAAGGATGCATAACCAAGTTGAGCATCCTGCCTTAAAAAGTACCTTACAAGACCACAGATCTCTAAGCAAGAAAAAAACAACTATTTCAATGAAGAAAAAAACTGAACTCTCAAGAAAATATGTATTTGGCTTCTCCCAAACTAATTTCTACTGCGAGATAATACGACAACATACAAAAAACATTCTGCTTACCAAAAGCGGTCAGCAACCTCAACCGTCTACAACAGCCACTTTTGTAGCAGCAACATCCCAGCTGTCCAGAAGCCAAGATGCAATTTTCTTAGTTGAGGAGCGCCAACACTCCCTCCCATCCAAGACTGCTCATACTCACTTAACATTTTGTGTCAAGTCAAGTGTACTGAGTCAATCGGCTTAGCTGCTGGTTTCCCCTTGCTAACTTTCAGGTCTTTTTTTGGGTTACAAGCAGAAAACAAAAGAAAGAGTGTGAGGAGAGGACACACCACAGAGGACCAGAAGGACAAAGTCAATTTAGTCATGGTGTTAATGACACATAATGATAGGCGGAAAATTTTAGGAGCAGGCTGGAAGAAAAAAAGCTTGTCAGTGCCTCCTATTTGGATAAAATTTTAAACACAAACCCAAGATTTCTGAAAGATAAGCAAAAAACCAGGATCCAGCCTCTGACCACCAGGGCTTTTTGCCACTCCTGCGTCAGAAAAGACTTGGTCTGTTACCTCCTCCCAGGGGTCTATGGGGGAGGAACTGACATTCCAGACACCCTTTCGAGGAGATAATAACAAAATCCCAGACCACCAAATCCTGACGAGCTTAGGTAATGTTCGCAAAGGAGGCTGTTTTCCAGTCCACCACAGGGAGCTCCTGTCACCCATCCTCACCTGCCCTTTCGTCACCAAGCTGCTGTCCTCTGTCCAGACTCCCCCTGCTCCTCTCCCTCATAATCATGTTTATTGTGCCCCCAATACCCTGTTCCATAACAAACAAACCGCTTTACATTCCCACTCTTTCCCCATTCCATATATCCTCAGACCTTTCCTGGCTCTCCCTTCCAAACAGTGACTGTCCTCACATCCTGTTGACTGGAAGGTGCTGAGTTAGGGAGTGGAAGCCAGGTTCCCTTCACTCCAAAATCTCTCCCCGGACAAGAGTCCTCAGCTCTCGTGTAAACTCCAGTGCTGTGAGGCCAGTTTACACCGCCTGCTACCCTGACTTGAGCCCTTGTTTACGTTTCCTAGCATGTTTTAGATGATGGTAGACTTCTCTATTCTAAATTTTGCCATCATCTAGGGAAAAGTCCATAAACACACAAAATTCAGTTAACATTATAGTTCTGCTCATTCACCTCTGTACCTCCAGGATCTTTGTCTACACTGCATGTTAATCAAAACACTTTTCAAAATAGAAATTTCTTCTTTCAAAGCAAAGGACTTACCCTATATAATAACTTCAACCAATACAGAAAAAGTAGTAAGTCCTCCATAATTCCCCTTTCAGTGGTATAACCACTATTCACAGCTTTATTTATCAATAAAACATTTAATGCCTGCATAAATATTTGTGTGTTTACATGAGGGGATCAAATTGCACATACTACTTTAGTTAAAAGCATATTGTACCGTTTTCCATGTCAATTTCCTACATTCTTCCATAGTGTCATCACAGTAATACACTCTATGAATAAATCAAATATGACGTAATTTCAAATAGGAAACGGAAGTTTTCAATTTTTTTACACTAACACAAAACCATGGTGACGATTCTTACGATTCTTATGTTCATCTTTGTCAAATATATCTTCACTCCTATAAATTAGCAGCAATGTAATTACTATGTAGAAATGCACTCACTGTTTAATGAACTTCTCCATTATCTACACATCCAGTCACTAAATCCTGTCAATTCTATCTGCTAGGTAACTCCTCAAATATTTCAAAACTGTCTCCTCTTCTCCATCTGCACCATCCCGACTCAAGTTCAAGCTGCCATCATCTCTCATCTAGTAATTTCAGCAGCCAGTGGCCTCCTTGCTCACTGCCTCCTTCTTCACAGCATCCCACTTGCCCTACTATAAAGATCTTTCTAAACTGCAAATCTGCCCTAAAGATATTCAGTGGCCCTTGGTGCTCATGGGTTCCAAGCTTCCGAACATGGCTTGTATGGCCCTTAATAATCTGTATCTTGTTTCTATGTACTGCTTTCTCTCCTGCCTCTTGCCTCCTTCTATGCTAAAGCTGTAGGTAACAGCCCTCAGCCACCTGTGTCCCCTTGCCTTCTCTCATCTCCTGGCCTCTGCAATTCTCCTGTCATACCACTTATTCTTTAAATCCAGGATTATGGTATCAGAGATCTTTTCTGATTCCTCAAATCTGAGTCAGGGGACTCAACTGTGAGTTCCCATTTTCCTTTCATTTTTTCAAATTTCAACAAAATAAACTCAGTACTTTTAACCAATAGCTGTATGCATAACACTGTAGCATTTTTTAAAGTGTTTCTATAAATCCATCCAGCTACCCTTCTAAATGACGTATGAAAAAAAGATCTATCTATAGTAACAGTCACATAATGTTAACGATATATCAATATCTTATACTTAATGTCAGCAATCAATCCCTGATGATCAGGTCAGGTATATTGTGTGGAAACGCTGAGAGCCTATTTCTCCCTATAATGCAACTTACGTTGAATATAAACCCCCAATAACTTTCTTAAAATATAGTTACAGTAGACTAGAATGCCTTTAATAACAAACTATCATGTTTAGGACATAAAACGCTTGTAACACTGTTTCCAGATCACCAAATATAGATCAAATAGTCCTGGCAATGAAATAATTAACATCTTAGGCATGCACCCTAAAATATCACATAAGGCATTCATTATGCAACAAGAACAAAATACTGCTTAAGGCAACATCAACTATGTCACAAAAATAAAATATTTTGGGTACAATGCAGTTGAATTCAGTGTGGCATGAACAGTTACAATTAGGACCTGCTATTTTGATCTATGTTTGTATCAAGCTTTAGAACCAGGAAAAAAAAAAAAAAGTTGATCTGATAAAATACAGAATCACCTGCTCCAGCGGCTCACAAAATACATCGCTAGCAGCTAGATGTCCTCCTTCCCTCCCCTGCCTTCTCTACACGCACTCTGGAAATATAGGCTTCTCAGCCCTTCACAATTCCCTTCAGCCACCTGCATACTAAATAAACGGTGTTTAACCTCATGGTTCACTTTAGTGCAGGAATACTTTGATTTCAGACTGTTCTGCCCAAACGACACTAACCATTTCATCTGGTGATGCCAGGAATTTACAGAGGCACTCTATTTTTCTCCCATAAACAGCATTACCAGCTATTACAGTTTACAAATCACTTTCCGTGTATACTGTCCTCATATAACCTAGAATGGAAGTAGTGTTCATTCTTTATGTGCGTGTGCACGCATGTGCGTGTGTGGGTGTGTATATACATCTACCTCTCGCAATTTCAAAAGCCATTTGGCTTACAGAAAGCCACAGAACTGGTTTAAAATACAAATAATAACAAAGATAATCTGGATATATATACACACTTGACTAATCAATCAACAAGTATAGATAAGATCAGAATCCTTTTGGGGATAAGGAGAGGAGATTAAAAGTAGGCAAATTTTGACTCCTTAAAGAAAGAAAATGGTTCACCACTGAGGAAGAAAGGGCACCAGGATGGGGAAACTAGCAATACTGAATTCAAACTTAAGTACTGGACACTAACTGTCTAGGCTCAATTTTGATAATCTTCAACTCTTCACAGAACCTCTTCAACAGAAGAGGTACAGAAAATATTTATAAAGAATGGCAGTAAGGATAGTTCTATTCCAAGAATGATAAATTCTTAGAAACAGTATAGGCTTCATTAGAAACATAATTTATGTACAATGAATTTGTTCATTAAAATATGACTGCAAAAAAATCAAGGCTATTTATACATAGCTTACTTGAGGTACATAGAACCTATTCTGGTTAGTGTCCCATTCCAATAAATTAAGAGTGCCAAATTCACATACACATAAATAGAAGGTGATAGTTTGCCCTGAGAGAGATTTGCAGGAGTAGTTTTCAAAAGGATGGATTTACCTGCTATTTTTTAAGAATCTCAAATAGAATTCAACTTGAAATATTATTTGTACAAAACATATGAGGTGTATATTATAAAAAGCACCAACTGCTCCTGCTCAGAAATGAGAACTTAAAAACACACACCCTTTTCCCTTTACAAACCAATTTTCTCGATAGTTTTGTTCTCTGTGATTAATCTAACAAGAGTAACCAATTTTGAAAGACTAATCTTTAAGCACAATTTGATGAAACTTTTGCCTAAATGACTTGAAAGAAATCAAAATTAAGTGTTTATTAAGTATAAGGTAAAGAAAAACCTAAGATGAAACAAGACTTAAAAAGACTGTGGAGAGAACAATTTTTCTTAATATCTTTTCTGAAACATACTTAAATAAATACATAGTTTATTGTACTTAAATACTTAGCTGGTTAGACAACAAAAGTGGTTATGTTTTGAAAAAAGACATACTTTTATACTATTACTTATTTACTAAGTGTTTTGGGGGATGAGCCAAGGCTACAATAAATCACTGCTTTATCAACCTAAATGTTAGTATTTCATTCTGATCTATATAGCAATATTTTTGAGAAAAGGTCAAATACTCACCAATGTTTTGGTGTGACCTGGCTCAGACTGATAACTTCATCGAGGATTTCATTTTTAGCTTTTTCAAATAGTTCGTTCTAGGTAATACAGATACAAATAAGTAAGATTTTCACAAGAGAGTCAATCTGCCCTGCCATGAGTTTCAGAGATCTCTACAAAGGCCTCTGACAGGCAAACAGGCTGAGCTTAGGTTTGAAGCAGGCATGACCAGCAAATAATGCTCTTCTCTTCTAGTCTCATTTTTAGGAATGAGAAATAGCCAGATAAGGACAAAGACACTGACACAAATGTCTACCTTATTCATTCAATGCTCACTGTAGTTTTTCATGTAACATTTATTCAGTCAGGTAAGTTTTTCACATAACAAATGTTATGTGAACGTATTAGTACATATTAATTTAGTCCATTAGTATTAGTAAACTGATGCTGTTTTATAAAAGATGGCATTTTAAAATCAAGGAATACCAATATTTAAGTCCCACTAATCAGAGTATATTTCTCCATAGTAAATGCTGAAAAGGTAAAAGAGTCGATGTACGATTTTAAAAAGTCTGTATTACATAAATATGTTAATTCTAGAAGACCTTTAAAGAATGTTCTTCATTTTATCAGAAAAACATTTTTAAATACTTGCTTTAGTATCTTATGATCTGTAATTATTTTTTAATATTATGTAATAAATAATTTAAATTATCGTAGAAGAGATAACTGCTCCGGGAATATATTCTTGCAGCTCTAAATTAGTAATCTTATGGTCAAAACCGAAGCAGGTTGGCTTACCAGAGTTTGCTCATCAACATAAATTTTTGTTAGAGCACAGTATCAAATAAGACATATACAAAATACATGAGGTACACAAACGTTACCCGGTCAAGTTCTCGTAGACGAGGATAGTTATTCTTCCACTCAGTTTCAAGGTTAAAACGTGTTGCTAAGGAAGAAGAAAAGGTGTTCCAGTTTAAGGATTCTCTTTCTTCCCAGCTGCAGTGGTTAAAGGTGATCTCACACATCTCTGTACTAACGGAATTGCTGAGTGCACGCCTATGGCTCCTGAGTGCCGTGGGCTCTCAACATGTCAGAATCTCACCTCTGCAAGTTTTCCAAACTAATCTCCTTGACTTTAGTTTCTCCATTTTCAATCCACAACACACACAAGGGAACAGCTTAGTACAGCTGCTAAAGGCATGGATTCTGGAATCACACCACCAAGATTCAAATCCTGGGTCTATTCTCGACCATGTATGAGCTGGGTGCACTACTTAGGTAAGTTACTCTGTGCCCCAGTTTCTTCTTCTGTAAAATGAGAGTAACAACAATACTCTTAAGGTTGCTGAGGGACTCAGCAGGTGGACTTTCTACATGGGAAAAGGGAAGGTAAGTATACTCTCATCAAATGAAACTATGGAAGCAAAGCCAAGGAGCAAGAAAGCGTGGCATTCAGGAACTGGTACAAAGTAGCTGAAGCACAGGCTGCTCTGCCCCCCAACACCAGTCCCCTCTTCCCTCTAGAAGGGGGAATCTGAGTCCACTATGGTTTACTAAGCTCTTGCTCTCAAACACTACTGCAAACTTTCTACTCTGTTGAAAATCTGCAAAGTCCTCCTTGGGATGTTTCCTCTGAAGGTGAAAGTGTTCTCGTACAACAACTAAAGATTTATATTTTTTCCATTTTCCACATATTATCTAACAGAAAATGGAAGTAAAAAGCCACTGTTAAAGGAATAAAAAATCTGACGGATACCTAACCTTGCCAACTAATAAAATGTCTAAAGTTGTCAGCTTATTTTAAACAGCCAACTTACCTTTGAAACTATCAGCCTGTTGCTCAACGGACTCTCGTACCATTTTCCAAAAGCAGTCTGATACAGCAAGGCTTAAATTTCTTGTAGTCACTTGGTGTGCCTTTAGCATGCTTGTCCTATTAAAAAATAATAAAAGCTAAAGTACATAAAAATGGCAAGAAGGACGATAACTATCACCAAATTTGGAAACGTGCTCGTTATGAGAATGTAATGAGAATACCACTCTCACATTTTATACTAGCACTATCCAATAAAACATTCTGTGATACAAACAATGTATCTGAGCTATCCAACATGGCAGCTACCAGCCACATGGGGCTATTGAGCCCTTGGAGTGTATGGCTAGTGTGCTGAGGAACTGGAGTTTTAATTTCTTTAAAGTTAACTAATTCACACTTTATAAATAATCACCCGAGGCCAGTGCCTGCCATGCTGGACACCTCAGTTCTCTACACCTGTCAGTTCCCGTCCCCATAGATAAGACTCAAGACTATGTTTGCAAGAACTATCTTGATTTACTGTACTAATGCAGAGGCAAACATACCTTGCCATTTTAAGAGACTCTCTACATACAAGGTAATTCAGTTATCATTTAACTCTTCCTTTTTACTTTTTTTCAGGATCTTATTTTCTGTCAATATCTATTTAAAGATACCCCTTTGACATCCCCAACCCCCACTCTCACTTTCCCCATTACTGAAAGAGAAACGAGTACACGTATTTAAAAATCTAAATTTTGAATTGTTGGGGGCGTCTGGCTGGCTCAGTCAGTAGAGCATGCAACTCTTCATCTTTCATCTTGGGGTTTTGAGTCAAAGCCCCACGTTGGGGGCAGAGTTTACTTAAAAAATAAGTAAACATAAATACCAGAAGGATGGGTTTCTTCAAAAAAATAAATAAATAAAAATGTAAGTGTTGATCTTAAAAAAGTCACTTCATAAGTAAAACAACTAAAGATGTGTCCGTGTTGTCCTTCAGTGCCCATATCCCCAGGGGCAGGTTTTCATACGAGCATGTATTGTACCATGTGATAAGCTGCTCCTAATTCTTTTTTTTTTTTTTTTTAATTTTTTTAATGTTTATTCACTTTTAGAGACAGAGAGAGACAAAGCATGAGCAGGGGAGGGGCAGACAGAGAGACACAGAATCCAAAGCAGGCTCCAGGCTCTGAGCTGTCAGCACAGAGCCTGACGCGGGGCCTGAACCCACGAACCACAAGCCCACGACTTGAGCCGAAGTTGGACGCTTAACTGACTGAGCCACGCAGCGCCCCAAGCTGCTCCTAATTCTTAGTAGCCTGCAGGCCTGCCTATTACATCCAGATCACTATTTCAGAAAAATTCTGGAAATTCAATGATAAACTAATGCTATAAAGCAAACTTTAAGTGAGAACAGCTTAAGTTACTCCCTCCAAGTATTTAAAACATATACCTACTTTAGGAGTTTTGAATTCTGAAAAAATTCTTCTTCATATTCTCTTATAGCTTCAATGCTTTCAGAGCTGTTCCCTAGGGAAAGACAATGAAATTCTCACTAAGAAAATTAATCTTTATTATTTGAAAACAACAAAAACTGAAATTGTAAGAATCCATCTTTGCATACCTTTTCCTGTTACAACAGCAAAATAACCTAGAGCTTTCATTGGGAAGAGTTTTCCTTCAATTATCTGCTGAATCTATTTTTAAAAGTGGGAAATAAATGTGAGATGCAGGTTTATATAATTTTTTGAAGCATAATATACTATTCAGAAAGCAAACTTAATAATGCTGTATATACACCCTCAAATATATAAATCTATACAAAAGTATTAAAATGCTTTTCGATTGCTACTTGAGGGGAAAAAACACATTTAATTTCACTACACTACAAGATGCATTATGAAAACTGGGAATGCTGTACAGTGCTTTGGGGTCAGGCCTTAGTTTAATTTCAGCTCCTCCACTCCTTAGCTACGCAGCTTTAAGTAAGCTGCTGAACTTTTTCAAAATGATGGCTGAAAACATGATATGAGGCAATATGGTAGGTACGTTACCACAGTGCCAGGCACGCAGAGTCGCTCAATAAATAGTAGCTGCTGTTTTTATTTTCCCATACTTTTCTTCAAATATATAAATCCTAACCAAGTTGGACTTCTTTTTCTCTTTTTTTACAAATATTGGGATCCACTGGCTCTTTTAGGGTCAAAACCCTTTTCTAAACGTAATAAAAGCTAGAGACCCTGTCCCCAGGAAAATGCACATTTCCACAGAGATCAATCCCTCATACAATGTAAGAGTTCCTGCTCCCTATGCCTATTCAAATTAATACTGCAGGTAAGAATCCATCCTCTAAGACAAGTCACAGCCCTAAGCCAATGCTGAAGCTTTGGTATAAAAAAGGACTGATATAAATTTCAGTTGCATTTCAAAATAAATATAAACTATCCTAGAGAAGAGGGGAAAGACATGAAAGAAATAAAAGGAGCTGGGAAAGAGGCACAGAATTTGCTTCTACCTCACTTCTCCCCTCCTCCAACCAGGACCAAAACCGCCACAGCAGGCCTCCCCCTCAAAATAAGGCAAAGCAAAGGCCATGGAGGTTGCGCACAGAAGAGTTAACACAGCAGGCCTGAGACTGCTGTCCTTAGAAAGGTCTGCTTGTCCTTGGCTGGCATTTGAGGACCTCACTGGTAAACAATTCCCACATTGACATAAAACTTTCTCCACATAACAGTGACTCATTGTGCAAGCAGTGTGGTTTCGGCTGAACACTTGGCTTTCCTTTGGGCGTCTGGAATTTTGGTACTTGAGGGTGCCTACATGACCAGCCCCCAGTAAGAACCTCAGGTGCCGAGTCTCATGAGAAACTTGTTGCTGGAGGGATTGAGCATTTCCCACATGACTCTACTAGGAAAGGGCTCTTGGAAACCTGAGCCAGGTTTCCTCCAGACACCAGGCTCTTGCACTTTATTTAGCCTTTCATGATTTTGCTTTGCATCCAATACTGTTAATAGATCTTAGGCATAAGGACGACTATGTGCCGAGTCCCGTGAGTTCTTCTACAGAATCAGTGAACCTAGGGGTGGTCTGTCCTGGGAATCCAGCACAAGAGGCACAGTCCCAGATGTTTCAGGTGGGAAGGAGAGAAACTCTATGCAGTAGTACAAGGGATGAGTAGTTCTAATGGCAGATGTTCTATGGGGGACAGAGATATAACAATAATAACAGATGACAGCCACCATGTATATAAAACTTTGCAATGTTAGAGCACTATTTCAACCACTTTACAACAAATATTTAACTCACTAAACCTTCACAGCCTATGAGATAGTACCATTAATATCTTCATTTCCAACAGATGAGGAAGCCTAAAGCACTGAAAAAGTTTAAAAATTTACCCAACATGACACAGCTAGCAAAGGGTAGAGCCAGCTTTTGAAACCAAGCAATCTGGCTACAAAATCTCTACTTGCAACCACTACCTTCTGCCTTTACCTTTGGTAAAGAACATGCCCTACGTCAAGACTGGCACCCTAGTAAGACTTACAACGTTACCTTGAAATAAAATTCTTTTGTTGTTACAGAAGGACAGGAGGGACACTGAACCCCATGAATAGAAGTCGCAGAATTTCAGAAATGAAAATGACCCTAAGACACCAACTAGATTGATAGCATGGATTAGGCACTAACTCGATGCAGACAAGTAACAAGATTTGTCCAAGGACACACGGCCGGTTGGTGGCCAGATAAGAATGCTGAGGCCTAACACCAATCCAGTGCCTTCTCTATTCTAAAAATCTGCTTCACAGTCTTTGAGCAGTTGGGAAATATAATAGTAGCAAAAAAAAAAAAAAAAAAAAAAAAAAAAAAAAAAAAAAAAAAAAAAAAAAAAAAAAAAAAAAAAAAGCATACACAATGTCCAGAAGGTATTTATAGTGTGACTAGTCTTACACTAATTTATGAAAATCAACTAAAAACAAATTTAGAAAAGAAACACCACAATCATTATTTTGTGGTTAATTAAGAAGTAGTTAATGACTGCACATCAGCACGTAAGATTATATTAGAGTAAGCAACATTAGTAATTCAAGAATTTCTGAAGCAAACTAACTGAAATTATGGAATTTTATTTATACTTCAAAATTACACTTAAGTAATTTACTGTAACTTTCTAATACTTTGTTTTTAATGAGGAGAAAAAATCCCACCAAAGTATTCCACAAGGACTTTTTGATTGCTTGTTTCTTTTGTTTTTATAGCCAGTTCCTGCTACAGCTGACGCCTATACAAAGAATCTGTTCTCTCATAATAAAGAGCTTGTCCTCACCCTGCTCGGGCTAGCCACGTTTTTTTCTGCCAGGTCTACTTTGGTCAAAACAAATATCGTCCTCCTTCCATGAGGATCCATTTGACTGACCAAATCTGTAACAATGCTACGTTCAGCATCCACAGATCCATCTGAAAAAAAAAAATTGAAAAATGACACTGCAATGATTGCCAAGTAGATTTTGTAACTTTAACCCTTGTATCTACATTATACTAAGAAAATTTTTCTTAATACATTTATCTTAGTTATGAAAAGAAATTCTAGCTAATAAAAATTTCTGTGATGTTTTATCAAAATATTCTTAATTTCATTTCTACTTACTAATAAAACGAATGGTTTACAGGAGGGCAAGACATATTTATGTTGTATGTTTATGTAACGTACAAAGCTTAAGATTGCTAAGGAAAGAAGCGTATTGGTGCAATTAAAACCTTTTGATAAGATTTACCTTGAATACATAGTATGATGGCATTAGGATTCTGCATATAAGCTTTGCTGATACTGAAAATAGTTTCCTTTGTGTCAGGAGCCATGCCTGATGTCACAGTCTTGAAGAAAAAGGTTTTAAATGTCATTATACATGTTTTCCACAATAGGAACAAGATAAAACGTAAGTTTTGTATATACTTACATTAATCACACCTGGTAAGTCAACAAGCACCATCCTTTGCAGTCCGGGGCCTTTTACGTTTAAGGATATGGTCTACTCAGGGAAACAAAACAAAAGGAAACTAATTGTGGGGGGCGGTTTGTTAGGGATTTATTGGTGATACGTGTTCTAAAAATTCTGTATCTCATCCATTCACAAAAAAGTTACCCTTTCTCTGATCCTAAAAGTTAATCACTCTAGAAAATTACTCACAAATGATACATTATTTGGAATATTAAAAAAAAAAAATCTGTCTTGAAACAGCTGTATTCTCTAAACATGAATGCCAATATTATGATTTATTTCCAATCATTTGGATTTCCATAAAACACTTTCCATAAAACTGTTAAAATGAACTACAACACTTACCTCAGGACTAACAGTACAGCCTTCTTTCACATTTTTCCTCATTCGGAGTTCTATTTCATGTCTTAGTGCTGCAAGCTATTAATGGAAAACAACAAAATCCTGTGATAATCTTCCTTTAACAAATATTCCAGTTAGTTGTCGTTCATAAGCTTATACACATTATCAAGTTACACACATGAACCTCATGTAAATTCTACTTACATCCTCCTCTTTGGTAAGATCGAACTCCCGAGAACTATCTTTAAACAAGGCCACGTGGTGAGGACCTTCACTCAGAGTGACCTGAAATTAACAGAAAATGGACACGCAACAGTGCATTTACAATTCACGTTGACTCCCACAGCACTAACACAGCCTAGACGGGACCATTGCACTGCACGCATCAGGTCCCTTCGCAGCACACACCAGGAGCATCCCTGGGGGCTGTCAACATGGCAGCGCAGAGATCACAGAACTATTTATCTGTGTTGTCCATACATCTGTCACAAGTGTCATAATTTCCCAACAAGCCTGCGGCTACTCTTTCATGACTGAAAGTGCTGCTGCCCCTCTCCTTTCCCAGTTAATGGCTACACAGAGTACTGAGCACAAAACCATCAATCTAAAACTTGAAAAACAAAAAGAAAATCTTGCATTTAACCTCAAAGGTAAATTTAGGTAAAGGACAATTCATTTACTCAACTTCTATTTATTGAGGGCTAACTGTGCAAGTGTTGCAGGAGGGAAACAAAGAAGGGACCGTCCCTGGCTTAGACCTCACTGCTTCTGGGAGAAGTATACACAGAGCTGACACGACAGTATAGTAAAACCTAGGTGCACACAAAAGACAGTGGTACTGACCACACAGGAACTAAGGCAGCCTTCGCCCAAGGAGTGAGTGATGTTTGCATAAGGAATTCTCTAACAATGCAAGGCCCTGTGAACAGGGCCTTCCTGAGAACTTCTAACCTTCACATTCCTTCCTTCCTTCCTTCCTTCCTTCCTTCCTTCCTTCC